GCTCCGAGCCGCCCCACCCGCCGGTGTGGAACAGCAGACAAGCCTCCCCCCTGGCCGGACCGCCCCCCCCCCCGGCCCCGCCGGCCCCGAGAGGACGCCGGACTCGGCGCCAGGGGACAGGGGCGAGATACCAGGAGGGGACACCCATTCGATGGGGGGCGGGGGCGGCGACGGCGGGGGGCACGGACGCGCAGACGTCTCCCCCCCTTGCAGGTCCCGCCAGCGCCACCGCCGCTTGCTCAGCCCCGCCCGCCGCCGGCGGAGGCGGAGCCGGCCGGGCAAAAGGGGCAGCGACACCCAGCACGGCCGGGGCAGGGGGCGAAGTGCCAGCGCACAAACCCCGCGGGACCATCGCTCGCGCTCCGCAGGCAGTACTCATCACATGCCCAAGCGTGCACTGCCCACGAAGGAACATGTGCCGCCGTAGCTGCGAGCGCCGGCCCAGCTGCCGATGCCCAGCACGCTGCTGCTGCCGCCCCCCTCGGCGCCTTTCAAGCACCCCACACAGTTCATCCCCCCCCCCCCGCCCCTGAGATGCGCCCGGACCCTTCTCTCCCGCCCCGCTCGAGGGCCGGGACTCGGGTGCCGAGCGAGGAAAAAAAAAAGAAAGAAGAAAGAGGCAAGGCCCCGCCTCGCGGCCAGGCCGAGTCGCCGCCGATCACCACCGGGAGCACCTTTGCACGGGGGAGGGGGTATACATTTCGAGGGAGAGGGGAAAGTGTGGCAACCAGTCCGAATCGTAGTGCCCAGTAGTGTAGGAGGATGGGTGTGTATGCGTGCGCGCACACAACAACATCAGGCTGTGCGTGCGGGTATCGGGAAAGAGGAGGAAGAAGATGCAGGGCAGATACACACGCGCGCGTGCTGGCACAAGGGGGGATGTATGTGTGTGGTGCGCCGATGGCGAGAGCAAGGTCGGAGCAGAGGCGATGCTGGCCCCATGATGAGGACACCAGGGAAGCAGCCCCTTAGATGAAGAAGCCAGCGCCGCCAAGCTGCACGCGCCGCAGCGCCAAGAGAGGGAGAAGCCGCGCGCGACGGGATGGCCGTCAGTCATCGGCCACAGGGGCGTGGGAAAGCAGACACAAGGCGCCGCCCCACCACCGACGGAGCACCACAAGGCAAGCACATCGGATGACAGCCCCCCCCCCCGACCCCCGACCCCCGTTCCTTGCCCCACACAGTGCACCGCAACAGGGAGACGCACCTCGACGGCCTCGATCTCGGCGGCCGACGGACCACGGCGACGGAAGCGCGCCGGCACCTCGGTATAAGTGAAGGGCTTCTTCGGGGCGGCGCTGGCGGCCGCATGGCCACCCGCCACAGGCGACGCGGGCAGGGCGCTCGGGCGGAAGGAGGCGGCCACGCGACCGAAGGCCACGCCGGCTAGGTCCAACCGGAAGGCAATGGGACAGGGTCATCGGTCAATGGCGGCTCGGTGGCCATGAAAGGCGCGCGGGGCAGGAGCCCGGCCCGGCGGGCGCCGGCGCGGAGCCGCGCGCGCATGAACGTGCGAGGCGAGGTGATGGCGAGGGAGGGACAAACATACCGGCCTCGGCCTTGGCCTTGGCATGGCGGAAGAGAATCGACGGGACACGAGTCATGGCTGCGGCACCGGGAGGAGACAGAGAGAGAGAGACGACAGGGCAGGGGGTGAGCG